TTCTTTTTCGCTCGTCAGTCATTTCTTAAGACGTATCAAGACGCAATGATACATTTTGACGTAGGTAGAAAAAAAACAACATGATTATTTAATCATACATCATAAGTTGGTATTTCTTGATATCGTATTTATTAATATTTACATTCAATCGTCAGATTTGGACATGAAAGTAAAGATCATACGAAACGTTGAAAGAATCGAGAATATTTCGAAAGCGCCTCATTTTGCACAAGATGTGCTTGTAAATGTCGCAATAGTTTACAATAGTTGTATATCGTTCATACACATTATTTTCTATGTATACTTTTTCCGCGCATTCTGCATCCGGATCATACATTTTCATTATCTTCTATTTAACGTCTCGCTAACATTTCCGCCCAACCGGAAATCTCAATCGGACGAAGACACAGGCTATTGTAAATTAAATTGAGTAACATCTTCCCGGAGAATATGTGAAACATTGAGTCACGATGTAAAGTCTCTCGTTAATGCATGCATCAGCAAGTGCTCTCTCGCACGCAATGTTTCTATGTATAATATGTGTGTATGTAAACGAGTGTGTGTGTGAGTGTGTGTGTGTGCACGTGTTTCTTCATCCTTATGCTCGCCAGACCTCCCGCAAGACGCAGTCAGATCTTGCCGTAACGTAGCCACCGTTTTCGTTTCTACATTTTTCATTAATTTAATTTTCCTTATTATTTGTTTCGTTCAGCATCCATTGGTTTTTTGTCCTACTACTGCGGGACTTTTGGCAAGTTCTCCCATTGGCACCGACGTTGCCATCGATTTCTGGTACGTGCCTCTCTTTTTTACTCGCGCTTAAGCTTCCACGAAGAGTTTATCCCCCGTGAAATCGCAAGGTCAAGTGTCGCAGGCGCTTTATAGTATCCCTTCCTCCCCGCCTCTCTGTGAGACAATGAGAACGCGATCACATATCTCTTCCTACGATTGCGCGCCCTTCCATCCGGTTTAAACTAATTTCTTATCTCCGCCTTCGTTTTGTTCCTCACAGTCGACGATGTCGCAAGCGGGGGATGGTCTTCACACACCTGGCTACTTGTCCTGGAGAAAACTGCAGCTGAGCCGCGCGAAGCTCAAGGCGTCCAGTAAAACGTCAGCTCTGCTCTCCGGTTTCGCTATGGTAAGGAAACGTCGCTCCCGGAAACGAAACGGTCCTCCGCCGATAGAATTCCATTCAGTGCGATAAGTTTTTATCACGATCCCTCTATATTCATAGAGACGCGTGTCCGCATCCTCCGCGATTAATTAATCGAGCTAACCATAATAGATAGCATCGTTTGGTTTTGCAATAATTACACGGAAATGAAAAAAAAATCTCTCTGTGAACTGAAGAGCATAATTCCGGAAGCGATTTGTATTGTTTGAACTAACTCATCAACGCGAATATTTCTCTAACGAATATCTGCGCAGATAAAAAATACCTACGTGCGCGTATAAAATTGTAATACGTATTTAAATATTTAAATATTTTCGAAAGAAACTCATTTATATATATCATATTTTTTAATGAATTTTATTACTTCCTAATCGAATATGCAGCGAGATGGAATCTGAATGCATTTTTCACATTTATTTGGTATTTGTTATCCTTTTATTTTTTTATTTGTTATCCTTTTATTCGCGTAGTTTATCCAAGACATCAAGTTACTTATCAAACTACTAAATGTATGCTTTTTATATACACTATTATATTTGGCGCAAATTGTTGCACGATTTAAAAACAATTTTTGCATTTATTTATATCTGAAGAAGTATAGAATTATCAATCTTTATTTAATTGTAAATTATTAAAGAGAATAATGAAAATGGACATATAATGTTTGGGAAACACTTCACGCGTGTAATTACGTTTTAAAAAATAAACCACGTAGGATTAACGACAGTTCACATTTCTCGATACTGTTCGGATAATAAATGCGCTGAGGTAATTTCTAAGACTCGACAAAGATCGGTCATTGTCCACAGGTCGCCATGGTAGAGGTACAGCTGAATCCCGAAACACGTGTTCCACCGGAGATGCTGATCGCCTTCGCCGTGTGCACAACTTTGCTCGTAGCCGTGCATATGCTGGCGCTGATGATATCCACTTGTATACTGCCGAATATCGAAGCCGTCTGCAATCTGCATAGCATAAGCCTTGTGCACGAGTCGCCGCATGAGCGTCTACATTGGTACATTGAGATCGCATGGGCCTTCTCCACGCTGCTAGGCCTCCTTCTGTTCCTGCTAGAGATCGCGATACTCTGCTGGGTGAAGTTCTATGATTTTTCGCAAGTCGCTGCCTGGTCGGCTTGCATAGTGTTGATACCAGTGCTGATAATCTTTCTTGCATTCGCGATACATTTCTATCGGAGTCTCGTTGCGCACAAGTACGAAGTCACAGTATCCGGCATACGAGAACTCGAGTTACTCAAGGAACAGATCGAGTCCACGGATGTGGAGGGCAGAAATGGCGTGAATCTTTTGCAGACCGGAGTAACGCATATCGTATGAATCGGTCTTCGCAATTTTTCCTGCCGTCGAAATTGGACTCGCGAATTGAACGCGACAAAAAAGAATTTCCGCTCCGCGGAACACAGCGTGAAAGAGAGATAGAGACAAAGGGGCAGAGATCTTTTCTAAGACAGCGTGTTGCGACGAGCGCTTGCGATGTTTCTCGGAGGATTCTTGCCAGGAAAGTCTTTTGAATCATTCGAAGAACATGACAGACAATTGTTTTCTTCACACACAACGCGCTACAGATGTTGCGAAGATTCGGTCAAAAGAGATAAGGATCTTCCTCTTCTTTTTTTATATGCGTGTTTCTCTGTGATGTAAATTATTATAAGCGCGATGAGACTCCGCTCATCTGTACGATGCGCGCGTTACAAAAGCATCGTGCCGACTTCAGGAAGGATACGAAGTTCGATAACATCGTTGTATATGTAGATACAAAATACATTCCTTCATTCGCGTTGCGACTTAAAACGTAGAAAGAATAGTATACTTTAAGGCTATTACCAGATAACCTTCCGCGTGTTATCGCCGTATAGTGCAAAAGCGATAATATAATAGTCTGAATTATCGAGAGGTGACATGACTAGCTACGTATTCGAATGTACTTATCTTTCGAAAAATGTGCTTATTCGAGAAACTCGATCGATTTTTTTTTTATATTTATTAAGTGTTGTAACGTTATACTAGGCAGATACATTATATCTGACACGTTCTGCCATCGCCGACACACGAAAGTCGATATTTTTTCTTAAATAGACAGCAGTTCCGCTTATCATTTTTTAACGCGTCAAGTACATCACTCTCGTGTATTCAAATATTTTGACTGCCGTAAAAAGGAACGAAATATCAAAAAGCGGCGATGTAGGTATCATCACGATATCACTCGAGATATTACATTTCGATGAAAATTGAAAACGTTCACACAGCACAAATCATTCCAGTAACATTGCAAACGTTCCAGCAATATTGCTGAAAACTTCTGTGCTGTACGGACATAATAGAGGATATCCCATCCAATATGATCACTCTATCTTTGCAGGGTTCTTCTTTGAGTTCCTTTTCAGCCTATACTGTATAGGGCCATAGTACCGTGCAATGATAATAGTGTTTATCCTTCTGAGGGACACACACTTAGTATATATCACAAATTTTATCTCGAATCAACTTAAAGTAGTAAAGCTTCGAGATGAAGCTCGTCAGAACGCCATGGCCTTAAGCTTTTTCAAATTGTTAATTATTCCTGTTTAAGCAGATTATTCATATCAGATGAGGTATATATCGAATGGAAGTGGAGCACATATGGAATCGAATCCGGATCTTCAAATCGTGATTCGACCATCCTGGGCCTGAAGCTATACGTGCTACCATCTTTGTAGGATAAGATCGAATCAAAAATACGTTCATACAAAAGTATAGTTTGGAGCGGGATTTGTGCTTACCCTGCAAAGATGAAAGAGATATGTTGGGTGGGACATCATGTATATACCCGATTATTATTTGTATATATCATTTTGGCGCGTGAAATGCGCTGATCGCCAAAATCAAAATTAAAAATAAATTCTCTTTATTAATTTTCTTTACTAAAATAAAAAAATTATACGTAGAAATCACATGCACGCATTATATTTTCCATTTGCCGCGAACGCGAGAAAGACCATTGAAACCATTATGTCCAAATTGATCTGAGAAGAGAAAACGAAACGTGACGCAATGAATGCACTTATAAGTATATCGCTGCTCGACTGTTTATCCTCGGAATGTGCAATATCGGATATAAAGCTGGCTGTCGGATGTCTTCTATCGTGCTGTTCACGCAGACGTCATTCTCCCAACAACCTTCCTGTACTTGACGTCTCTCTAAATGGTAGAAAACACCTCGACCTTCCTTCTTGCCATTTGTAAAGTGACCCTCGTAAAGATTGCCGTTTTCTATGAAGATTTTAAGACACATATTTATGGGAATTTCTTGAAGATAAGTATGAAGAGCGCCTTGAATGAGGAATAATGTAATTTATAGTTCACAATTTTCGCAAACGCCAAGAATAAAATCAAACACAAGCTAAGGACGCTAAGGAAAATGTATCAACTTTTTGTTCTATGTATTACGTAATTAAAAAGAAATTGAAAAAGACTTTTAAGCGGATTCATTCTGCAAAGCAGTTCTAGATTTCACATATACTTTTTTTGTTTCTTAATTGATTGCAACCTTGAATGAATATCCCTTCTCCATGGTAACGATCGTTCAGCCACATGCCCTGGTAATATCCGCTGCCGCATTTGTACCAAACCCGGCCGTAACCATTCCGCTTGTTATCTCGAAATGCGCCTTCATAGTAACTGCCGTCCTTGTACCAATTACTTCCGAATCCGTGCTTCCTTCCCTTCGCCCAGTTGCCAGCATACACCTTGCGCACGTCGCCGTCTTGCGTAATTTTACTGAGGACACCGTAACCGTGTTTGTGGTCGTTACACCAGTCGCCTTCATATATCCAACCGTAACTGCGAAGGAACAATTCCTAATGAAATAGCGAACGAAATATCGGCAGCTTGGATATACATAATCTTGCGAGCAAGCAAGATATATAACAGTGTATAACATAGAATGGTTGCCATAAGTTTACTAATTTTATTGTATTGCTCAGATAAAGAATTTGTACAGATAAAGATTTTATATACAAGTACTTGTATATTAACTAATATATAAGTTACTATTAGTATTCGAAATATCGTAATTCTTGAAGTTGATTATAACAATAAAATAAATTGACAAAAATTATCTAAAATTATATAATGACCAGAAACTTTTGGCAGCTATTGTATATTTGATAGTAATTTTAGAATTATAATGTTAAATTAAATCGATAGACACGAAGTAAACGTTCTATGCTCTTATTGTATATATTTAACGTAAAAAAATCTTAGTATAATAATTAAATCATGAATAGAATAATTCTTTTAATGTTCAGAATGTGTATTAATTAATACACATTCTGAACATTAAGAGAACTATTAAGATATTACAAAATTTATATAATTCTTCGATTATATATTTTTATAACTTTTCTTAATTGCTTTTTTCTATTCCTTATGTTAATTGATAATTGAAACATAATTGATCCATAGAAAAAGAGTATAATTCATCACAGAAAGGATAACTTACATTCTATTATAAAAATTATATTTTTTGTAAAAAAAAATCTTACGATTATCATATTAATTAATTTTTTACGCGTGTTTAGTTCGTAATATGGAAACATTAGATGAAGGGAAATTGATATTACCGATTCATGTTAAATGAGAAGAACCTCCAGCGAACATAAGGCCTGTTCTTTTTAGCTGAACGGTTCATCTTTCTTCTTTTTCTATCTACGTTGGAGAGAAAAAGAGAACTTTTGCTAAAAAGAACAGATCTATAATTTTCGTGATACCTGTTAACTCCTATGCCTTTGCCCTCTCTCTTATTATTTCTCCATTCGCCCTTATAATACGCTTTAGTAATACGTTTCCTCTCGGGAAAGTATATAGCGTGTCGCCAGCCATTTCGTTTGCAAGCTTCTATTCGTTGTTGGCACCACGTGACTCTCTGTGCTTTCAAGAACGGCATTGCGCCATATTCATGAAGAAATAAACTTCTCAACTTGTCATTTCGTTAATTTCGCAAGCAATCGATAATTATAAATCGAGACAAAATTACATAATTCACATTATACTGCAGAAAAAAAAACGATTGCATTCATATCGCATTATAGGTATTCATAATTAGTTCTTATATTCAAGATCGTCTTAAGTCTTAAGATGTTACAAACCAATCAAAAGGCCGCATTAGCATCTTAAGACATTACTTAAGACGGTCTTGAAATAAGAATCGATTATGAATACCAGCCTCAAAATTTAAAGTAAATTCTTAGACTATGTTCGAATCTCCCACCTGAATGTCCCCCCCGAATCATTTAACTTTGTTCGACAAATATTAAACAAGGATAATTATTAATTATCTATGTATCATTTTAAAATGATATATGAAGATCGTCTGTATTTCTTAAAATGAGATAAAAGAAAATTACAAAAATGAATACAAATTTATTAGAATATTTAAAATTATATTAGCCAACATCTAATGAATTCATTCATTTTTGTAATTTTCACCTCGTTCCTCTCGTTCTAAGATATATGTACATACACAATCGACACTCTAATACATGAGTGCATATTTTCAAGTTTAAAAGTGTATATTTTCGAATCTCTTAATTAATATAATGGTGTTATTGATTTATAGCGGATATTTAGATTAACCCAGAAATAATTTAATAATCTTTCTTCATGTTTTTTTATTGATATACGTTTTGTTAATTTTATTTTTTAATTTTATTTTGTAAATTATACATTCACATTGACGCTCCTAAAACATTTCAAATGAGTACATTCAAAATGACAATCGCTCAGTGAGCTTTTGCATCTAATTGGCATATTCCGTTAGATCTAAATATGTAGACCAAACAGGTACAAGAGCTCATTGAATGCCCAGTGAGCGGGATTGTAGTACTGAATGCACCCAATACAACCTTTCATTAAAATTTGAAGATTTTTTTTTTTCTTATTCATTTTCAATTTTTCTTTTGATTCCATTTTTCTATTCAGCGGTCTTCAATTTAATTATTTTTTAAAAAAACTTTTAAAATCTATATAAAAAATGAAGTAAAAGGTTGAAGTTAATCTACATTGGTAGAAATGAACAACATTGTAAGTAGCATCTGAGCGTTGCTCGCGCATTGCGCATGCGCGGGGATTTGTAACTGCTAAATACCAATTACTGCTCCGTCCAAATTCCAATACCAGTCCAATACTTCAATACATAGATACTACTACACAGTGCACCGCATATACGCGTCGGTATAATCGTGTGCGTGTAGCGTTGATCGCATTCTTGTATCTCGTCCTGAGAACGGAGCGCGAAAACTTCGAAGCTTCTTTACGTCGCGCGTCTACGATGGACAGCGATGTCCGCGTGTTTAATGCGAGCATGGATACGATTCCGTTGGACTCGTCGATCATCGAAGACTCAGAGACGGAGGTGATCGAGCTGGATACCAGTTACAACACGAAAGTTTCCTCCTGTCTCGACGATGAAATTCAGGTCTACAGTACGAAGAGTATTAGTCATGCCTCGACTCCGGACGACATCGAAACGATTGAAACGAGGATCCATTCGCGGAGAGATTCGCAATTCGTTCGATCGAACGACAACAACTCGCAGCCCGTCTTTAAGGTTATGTTTCGTGACGAGAGTGTCTCAAGGTGCGTCTTGTCGTATGTTCCAGCGCTTTGTTTACAATGCGCGCGCGGGAATTGTTCCGTCTGGTTTTATAAGAATGATATATCTGACGTATAGGAATGTTACTGATTTTATTATAAGCATTATTATTTTTCTATATATGTTTTGAAGAAAAAGAATAATACGCGATATACTTATCAGGAGACCTGGCAGTGTCTCGGCATTAAGCATTAATATTGATACAACAAACGTTAATAAAGAAATATAATTTATTTAATTTGCACAATGAATTATTAAACGTGAATTAAATATATAATAAATATAATGATTTATTTCACACATTAACATCAGACTTACTGGAGCAGTCAAAATGACTAGTTTCTAATTTCTCAAATTAATAATTTTTATTTTTATATTTTTTGAAATTTTTCATTGTTGCAATATCTAAAGAATTAAATTAATTTGCTTTTCTGTTTTTCCTTTTTTTTTATATATATCAAATTAGGGAGTGAGAATAAAAATAGATACACGTTAATCATAGATAGTTGTATTGTTAAACATTAAACATAGGGATATGCAACTAAAATCATTATATATATTCATTATTACTGAATTTTTGATGAATTTAAGTTCTTATTGAATTTCATGTGTTTACAGGCAATATCGGCGACAAATAAAAGACTTCTTGTATACTTTAGTGCGCTCAAAACCCCGTCGTAAGAAAGACTCAAATGAGTCAAATTTGACTTTAGAAATTTGGGATGATGGAGTTGATTCTAAAGATAAAAAGTTTGTAGAAAACGATGATATACAATGCAGTGACACATCTGATTTTTTATTTACAATTGATAAACAACCGAATGTAAAGAATGATATGGATATTCCAACTTATGGTCAGGTAACGTGCTCTTTTTTTATTCATCTACCTTACAAGGGAAGGCTATAAACTGTTCTTTATCATATTTTATGAAATTTGGCAAGTAATTTGTTGAATGTTCTTTCTGATGTAATATTATTCTATTTCAAGTGCAGACAAATTGTTTTAGAGACATTAAATATCTTTCTTAATTTATGTTTTTATTTCTCAAGATTTTTTAATATTTAAACAAGTAAAAGGATTTTGTGTGTGTGTGTGTGTGTGTGTGTGTGTGTGTGTGTGTTCTGTTACTTATTACCACATACGAATGTCATATAAATTCATAAAAATTGATGAGACAGTTCATAGCCTCTCCTTATTAGCTAATTTTCTTATTCTTGTACCTAGTCTTGCCATAAATTTTGTCAGTAATTTAAACAGATAGAGCAAAAAAAACAGCAACAGATAGAACCAAAATTATACATATATTCTGAAAGCAGAGGAAAAAAGCTACAAAATCATATATTTTTTATTCGAAATGCCGCAATTGTTCCATATACATTTGCGTAAACGTTGAGACCATTCATCGATCGATTTATGCACGATCTTCAGAGAAATCTTCTCAGCTGCTGACACAACGGAACGCTTGAGCAACTCCAAATTGCGATGAGAGCTTCTTGCAAGCCATTTTTTCCATAATGCTTCCACATTTTATAGTCTAACAAATTAAGGACTTGATCTTTGTGACTGTTGTTAAGCCTCTTATTTTGTCACACTTTGCTGATGGTTAATTTTGGACCTTCCAACAAGACCTTCCACTCAGCCCTCGCACACAAGGCGTAAACGACGCAAGCAGGCTGGAGAACAATGTTCCTATAATTCTCTGGAGATCGTGCGTAAATCGATCGATGAGTAGCAACATTTATGCAAATGTATATGGAACAAAGGCGGACATTTCGAATACAAAATAGATGGTTTTGTAGCTTTTTTCCTTTATTTTCAGAATATGTGTATAATTTTGGGTCTGTTGTTATTTTTTTTGCTCTATCCGTTTAAACTACTGACAGAATTTATGGCAAAACTAGGTATATACATGTATAGCTATGTATATATGCATATATAACGATTATGTTATTTAAATATATATATATATATATATGTATATATTTTTATATACATATAATCATTATATAAAGTTTTCTCATTAAGGAATATTGCTCTCTGTGTGATATTTTTTACTCTAACTTACGGCAAATGTTATCTTATTTTGTATTTGTTATTTCTATATTTTAAACAACATTATTTTATATTAGAAATATGAAAATATATTTGAAGAATCAGTTCATGAGACACCAAAAGATTTCATGCCAAGATTAAGTTGCTTTAATTGTAATGGAAATCATAATTTGCGAGATTGTCCGTTGCCTAGAAATCAAAGCAATATCAATAAAAAACGTAAAGAGTTTGCCTCAAAACATAATACAGGAGTCCGATATCACTTGAGTGAGGACCAAAGATTTAGTTACATGGTTCCTGGTCAATTAAGCCAAAAATTACGAAAGGCTCTTGGATTGAAAGATAATCAATTACCTAGACACATATATAGGTATGACATAATTATGCAATCTATTGGATTTTGGAAAAATGTTCCTTTATATTATTTAAGTCGATGTATGTATATATTTTTATTATTAGTAATAAATTTTTTTAAATTTTAATATTATGTTTGCTATTTCTAAATCAATATAATATTTTTTTTTTAAATCTCTAATTGTTGCAAACACAAATGCGTTTACATGAAATTAAATATTAAATTAAAATAAAAGAAAAGATTTATATTTCTCAATTCAATGGGCCAATGAGGTTCATTCTACGTGCCAAAACGTTTTTTCTTAGAATGAGATTACTTGGCTACCCTCCAGGGTGGTTGGAAGAAGCACGTTTACAACATTCTGGTTTATCGCTGTTCAATTCTGATGGAATAGCGGAAAGTGATACACATAAAGAAGGCGAAATCATCACACATAGAAATAAAGATCAATATGATATTAAAAAAATATATGATTTTCCTGGTTTTAATGTTCCACCTCCTCCTGGTACCTCAGATGTAAGTAATGTGTAGCTGAATAATCAATATTGATACATGAAAATGATCTTATCTCGTAACTTACACGTTTTTGTATTTGAAATCGTAAGCATTAAAATCTGTCGATTGTAGGAGAGCCACAACTATTGGGTACCGCAAATGCAATCTATACATAGTAAACAGGTAATGTTATTACATTTGCAAGGCAAAGAAACAGATGATGGTTACAAACGTAAAAAACTGAAATTACCTCCGCCAGTTAATGTAAATGTAAATGTAACAACAATCAGTGATATGGACATAGAAGATTCAGAAGGTATAATTATATATTAATCATATTCCAATTGAATAAATATTAACATTTAATGTAATTTTACTTAAAAAGATAATTACCGTAAGAAGCGAATATATATAAGAATTATTTCAACATTAAGTTCATATTA